TGTCCAGCAAACTGACTGCCAATCCTGCGGATGTTTCCGCTGTTGTTCGTGCTGCTGAAATGAACTTCTCACTTCCCTTCCCCTCTTCTCGCCACAGTGACTTTTCCGTTCTTTCGTTCGATCATGGTTGAACATTTACCTCGCGCGCGACGGTGACCTGCCGCGTGACATACTTGCGCATATCAGAATAAGCGCCTGTCTACTGCGGGAACCAAAAAGAAAGTCATCTTCTACCACCTTTTAATCTGTTTGGTCGATTGTCTGAACTCCACATGTTACGAGAGTGGATGACAGTAGAACCACTCAGAAAAGCACCCCCCGCCTCCCTCCCCCCCCCCCCCCCCCCCCCCCCCCCCCCCTCTCTGAATCTGTTTGGGCGCTTGTCTGAACTCCACATGTTCACGGTAATGGATTTCACAAATGGTTGCTCTTCTTTCTTGCTTTCTTTCTTGCTTTCTTCCCACTGCAAGTCATTGTCGTTGAGGTGCTCCTTCTTCTTCTTTTATTTGTTTGAGGTGCTTTATTCTTGTCGACGAAGTGCGGATGGTCTTCACATGGATAACTTAGTTTATCACGCATCTGCTGTTTTTGCGTGAACAGATCCAGGCTAGGGAACCCCTGCATTTGAGAGAAGAATGATCAAAGAACAAAAAAAAAGAGAAAAAGAGATCGCGGCTAGTGTGAGTGCACGGTGCAGAGGCGCATACCTCTCCAAACCCTCCGGCTATTTATTGCAGGCGTCAACCTTTCACATCCACACATTTCTGGGGGTGTTGTTGAGGGCTTGCCCGCAGGTGGTCGTTCGCCACCCTCCCCCCCCTCCCCCGCAAATCCCTGCTATACTGGGGCACTTCCCCAGGGCGGGGGCGGGGTCGGGGTGGCGGAAGGAGACACTCAGGAACTGTGAGCGGCCTACCTCCGCAGGGTGGCCCTTCGGATGTAGACCCTCAGGATGGCCCTTCGAATGTAGACCCTCAGGGTGGCCCTTCGGATGTAGACCCTCAGGCCCTCAGGGTGACCTGCTCACTGCTCTGCAGTGTTATCCTTTCATCTCCCCTTGGGAAGGTGGAAGATTCCCGCAACTACACTGCCGCAGCAGGCCAGTCTAGATCCTTTTTTTTTTTTTTTTTTTTTTGGGATGAACGGTCCGAGGTAGTGCTAGGGGTGCTGATAATTATCTGGCGTGGCCTGCTGCAGTGGCGTAGCTGCGGGGAAGATCTCGTCATGCTTGACAGACGGCGCCGGCCAGCCTCTTTGGGCCTCGCTCCAAATACAAATACAGACCTCATTTCGAGTCCCGCTCAACTCAGATGAGTAAATAACTCTGCACTTACTTGGGGCCGGTCAGTTTGACGATGATATCTCAACGCGGTCACCCTTCACCCCTTGGGGGGGCCAAATTCTTTGGGGGGAAAAAAGAAGGAAGGAAAGAAAGAAAAGCCAGTTAGGAGAAGAAAAAAGAGAAGAAAACGTGTACCATTCAGCCACATGGGTTGTTTTCTCTTTTTCTCTCTTCTTTCTTTTTCAAAAAGGAGTTGGTGCAAAAAAAAAAAAAAAAGTTGGTGCGATGGACCACTGATCAGGACAGATAGTCCGTCGACTTTGCTGCTCGAATACACAGACCACTTACGTGGTCTGGGCGCATGGCGCACGAAACGCCAAAAACAAAAGGGACAATTGCATATGAGAATACAGGCTATACCCAGGGCCAGCGCCAAACTTGCATCTATACCCAGACGTTGCCAGACGTAGTACCCCACTTTTCCCTTGTGCGAAATTGTACACATACCCAGTCCGTCCTGCAGGTCGTCCGTCGTGTACACATACCCAGTCCCGCAGGTCGTCCGTAGAGGACCACGAAATTGTGCTCATGCCCAGAAACAGACCCACGGCAAGACGACATTTCGAATTGGAACGCACAACCCCATCCTTCTTCTCTGTTTCCACCTCAACGTTCCCGTACAAAAAGAAAGAAAAGAGAGAGAGAGAGAGAGAGAGAGAGAGAGAGAGAGAGAGAGAGAGAGAGAGAGAGAGAGATGATGGATATGGTGGAGATGAGGGTGCAGCCAAAGGCTAATCAAGCATGACAGCGACAGCACACAACACACACCATAGACTCGCACCCTACACAGTGTATTCCAAGACTCACACGTCAAGAATGAGCCGGAGTAAAGACTGCAGCTGGGGTATTCCTCCAGCGGACTGACTCGAGTGGACTAGACCGGACTGGTACCGAACGTGGTATCCGTGGTCCCACAGGCCGAACAGACACATAGCCCGTATAGCCAGGGAAGGCGTACTGCTGCAGCCCATGTATTCTCGACAGGGTACTTAGGGCCGGGCTGCACTGCTCACCCCATGAAAAACTCACCCAGAGGTACTCATGGCCTGGTCCCACAGGCTTAACAGGCACATAGCCAAATAGCCCGGCCTAGAGCCAGAGTACCGCTGCACATGGGCCGGGTACTTGACAGGGTTCTTAGGGCCTGGCTGCAACGCTCTGTGCTCACCCACAAAACCTTACCCGGGGCTAGGTTCCACTTACACGAATTAAGCGATATTGACCGTAGATAGCAAAGATTAAGCGATATTGACCGTAGATAGCAAAGATAAACGGCCAGATTCTCGTAATCCGTGCAAGTGGGACCTTGCCCCCGAAAGCAACCAGAATCACCCGAGTGCACCCTAACTGTACTCTGTGTGGGTGTAAAACAAAAGAAACCGAACAAAACTGTCTAGAGGTCCATACAGGACGTCTGGACAGTGGAAAACCCCCCCCCCCCCCCCCCCCCCCTAGGTAACCACTGGAAACATCCGACCACACATTACCTGTTGCACGTGAGGGGAAAACTTGCCGCCCCAAGTTTGGTACTGTTTTTGCATTCAGCTTTGTCAGAAGGGTGGGGTGAGTGCCACTATCATGGCACTATGCAGCACTCACAAAAACCAGGGTGGGGTGAGTAGTGCACCGAAGCCCTTAGCTTCGTAGGCAACCTTGATGCTACTGCCTTTCCCGAAATAGAACGCACCCTCATCATGACTATGTGGGAGCAGAAAGATCGTATCTCGTATGTATTCATGACGGGGAAGCATTGTCTTTTGGGGGAAGACGGTAGACATCAACAACGACCAAGGCATGTGGCCACGTACACATGGCTAAATGAAAGGCCCAACCGACCCAATCTAAGGGGGTTACAGAGGGGGGATATCTGCGCCAAACCAATGTATATGTCAGGTGGGGCAGGGCCCGGCAGGCGATAGTTGTTCTAGGTTCAACAAATAGGTGGCACGGCACCTGTGGTTCAAAGTTCACACCACCGAACCATGTGTACTCCCAGCCTCCATTCACAAACCACGGTACCATGTGTACTCCCAGCCTCAGTTCACAAAACCAGTCCAGGGGTGGACCCCCCCTTTGTCCGATCCCGCAGTAGCAGCAGTGTCAAAGCGGGAAAAAAAAGCCCTGAGCACCGAGAGCCTTGCACAGCTGTGTGAGGAAAGCGAAAGCGGGAAACAAAATATCCATCCAAAAAGGAATAGCAGACCAAAAAAAAAGCAAAGAAGGAAATAACCAGAAAGCTATCAGAGGGCTGTGGGAAATGGCCCTCATAGCAGTCCTACAGAAAACAACAGCAAAATAGGCCCAGAAATTTTCAAAAGTTGCCTGCGCATAGAGAGGGACATTTTACTTTGTTTTGGTATCCGGGCATTGGGCTTGCAAAAGGGCTTTTCTGTTTAACAAAAAAGAGAAGAAGAAGATAAAAAAGAGATGGACAAAGAGCTCCATTATGCACAGCCACACCATGACTTGCTTGTGGCGCGCAGGACAAATCTATCAAAGACGTGTGGGCTGGATGTGGACAGTTTGTGTGCAGATCCAGATCCACTCGGGGCCTCGCGACACCACTGTCAAAATGGAAAAAGCATGAGTGCATCTTCCTCAGAAAGTGGAGACATCCCTTACTATTGATAGTAACAGATGCATCTTGCGGCTCTCTGCGGAAGCATGCACTCGTTTATCTCGTTTCGACAGTGCTGTGGCGAGGCCCTTAGTTCTTCTGTGAGCATGCACTTTCTCATGGTATCTCCCGGGTAACCTCAAACCAGACACGGCATAAGAGTTTGCCTGTCCAGCACTTCAAGTTGTGCCCACTGTGACGGCAACCTCAGGGGGGAAAAAAAAGAAAAAAAAACTCACACCCAAAACTGCTTTCCGGTCAGTGGAGGGCCACGAAAGTGCTAAGAATGAGGTGTGCCAAGGACTTTAGGAAAGGTGGTGGTTGGAGTTCCAGGTCGGAACTGGAATCTCCTTGTACGGGTTTGGTTAGAACCCCTCAAGATGTAAGAGAAAGAAGGGACGACAACAGTTTGTGACGTACCAGCTTCTGAGCCTGCGCCATCTTCCGGACCCCTTCTCCCTCTCTTTTTCTTTTCGAATTTTGCTCGGCCCAACAAGGCCCCTCCCTGTGTTGATTAAAGGTGCCTTGCTGAGACCCGTGTTTCCAGTCTCATTGATTCTTGAAATTCTGTTTTCATAATTTGGGAAATCCATGGGAATTGTGTGCGCTTTAGTAAGTGCGCTAGGAATTTGGCCCGGTAGTTAAAAATTCCGAAATAAATGGAACCCGACGTGTCCTTTTTGTGCATGAATGTTCTCGACTACGTCGCGAAAAACTCCGGGAATGTGGTGGAATACGAATGGACGTAGGATTGCCTTTTCCCGCGCCTACTTTACGCGCGGATATGGTGATTTCAATTTTTGAATTAGCATAGGACTTAGGAATCTGTAACTGTATTGGTGCCTCTTTTTGCATTTGTAATCGGCGCCATGCAAGCGAGCTTCCCCCTTTCTGCTCCCCTCGCCATCATCGACGCTCCCTTCGCACCCGCGCTCACTCTCCTGCTGAAACCGTTTTTCCCTCTCTCTCTTTCTCTCCCCGCGTGCCTTTTCTCTTTTTTGATCATCTGAATCTTGGATCCGTTTCACGCTATCCTACGCACCCTTCTTCCTCCCACTCTGAGTCCTACGCCCAAGAACCCGGTTGATCCTCTCTTCACTCCGTTCAGCCAAGGAGAAGCGCCACGCAAGGGGAAACTCCTATCACGCGACGACTCTGATTGGCTACGATCGGACTCAGAAGGATCAACATGGCTTTTGCCGGGCGATTATCCCCAAGCCCTCTCTCACCCTTCCCGGACTCAATCATCATCCTCCCTCGTATCTACCTCCCTTCCCGCAACTATAAATTTCGCAAGCGCGCCCACAAATCTCTCTCTCAACTCGTCTGCCAGTTTCCGAAAAGC